ATGGTTTTCTGAAACGGAGAAGTGTGGAAACTGCATTATTCACGTACACGTGCGACATTTATGAGGGTTTGGAGAGAGGAGATATGGCTTGCGGTGTACTTCTGGACTTATCGATTAATCACAAAATACTGATCTCGAAATTGGACTCGTGTGGGATGAGGGGAATCGCTCTTGACTGGTTTGCTTCGTACCTATGTAATAGAAAACAAAATGTGCGAATTACGGAAAATGGCGTTCCAATTATTTCAAGGGAGACCACTATGTCGAGAGGTGTACCGCAGGGCAGTATACTGGGTCCTATATTGTTCCTGATATACATAAATGATATACACAGTGCTACCGAACACGTAAATGCAAACTTCTCCGCTATTAACTACGCTGACGATACCAGCTTTCTATTATATGGTGATACATTTGAATCTATTGTTACTGGTGGTTCAGAATTGTTAAATACTGTAGAAAATTGGCTAACCACCAACGACCTCATTATAAACCATGACAAGACTAACGTTATTTTGTTTAAAACTACAAATAGCTCTTATCCCAATACTATAACCTTCAATCATCGTTTATATACAACTGAAGAACGGGTACGTTTGCTTGGAGTGGTTATCGACGACACTCTTAAATGGAAATCGCATATTGATGCACTCTGTAAAAAGTTGAGCAGTTTTTGCTACGCTCTACGTCAAATGAAAAAGTTGGTGAATGATCGCGTTATACATTTATGCTACTACGGTTGTTGCTATTCGCAAATACGGTTTGGTATCATAGTCTGGGGAGGCAACAGCGAATTACGTCGCGTATTTGTGTTGCAGAAGAGAATAATACGCACCATGCTCGGTTTAAGTTACGGACAATCGTGTAGAGGCAATTTTAGGAAAAATAGGTTGTTAACTGCGTCTGCAATATATATTTATGAGATTTTAGTTTTTCTGTTTAATAACAAAAGTCTTTTTTCACAAAACTCATTTAATCACCATTACGAAACTCGAAATAGGCGCGATTATTGCTACCCAAGACATCGCCTAGCTGCTAGTGAAACTTCAACTGGTTATGCGGCCCTAAAATTATATAATAAATTACCTAACTCGATAAAACATATTACCAGAATTAGTACGTTTAAACAGGATTTGTTCAATTTTCTAATCGATGTAGAACCCTATAATGTTGCTGAATATTTAGATTTTAAAATGTAAAATCTTAAAAATGACGTTTGTTATTGTAATTTTTTGATTTGTCTACAACATAATAAAGATTATTATTATTATTACTAGTTCTAGGTCTAGCGTTGGTTCTAGTTATCTAACACTATCAGTAGAACCAACCTAAGACCTAGAACTAGAAACATTCGGCTGACGGGTGCATTAGGTACACTTCTGCTTTGGAAACAGTCTTGACGCACGTCTGAGGGTGCGTTTTGAGTATTTGCTTGGTTTTACCGTATTAGAGTATGGGGTTTCAAATTGGTAAAAGCTAGAATAGTACTACTAAAGGTAGTACCATTTCAAAATGGTATAAAAGTAAGCTAATATTTTATATAAAGTGGCTATGTTAAACCTCTTTATACCCAATTCTACTGAGCCTTGTTGTGTATTGAATTAGTCTTTAAACTGATTGCATAGGGTTGATTGACGACAAACACATAAGAATATTGTACCCAATATTATATAGTGGATCCATATTTTATAACTATAAAAATTATTCCGAACTTTTTCGAACCAAAACTCCCCGAACTAAACCAAACCCATCTAATCCACAACCAACCCAGACAGTAAACATGTGTACACGATAACTCAAAAATGAAAAGAGACAATTTCGGGAGGAGAAGATTAGTTCGGAAGTAGATACATCTATTGAAATATTCAATATGTTGTCGATTCTGTACGTTCCAACTGAAAATTTAACTGCTGAAATTAATTGTGTTCACTTGCAATTAAAATGACCTTGCAACTAAATATTCTAAATGACATAGGATTTCGACAAGTCTAGAAAGACGAATTTTGTTTTGAAAACTCGATGTTTTGTCTAAATTTGACATAAGACTAAAATGGTGTTCAAATCCAACTCTAGACTTAGGTTGGCAACGGTTAAAGCGTTTAGTCTTTATTATCTTGGCAATCTTCAAAAAATGTCGGTGCTAAGACTTTAACAATTAGAAGTAGACGAATTTCGGTCATGAATATGGATTTGATATCTCGATATTTTATTTCAAGTAAACCGAACACATTTCAGATTTAAGAGTGTCTATTTGTAACTAAGGAATTGTAAAATCCATCCTAACACTTCTCAGTGCAAATATTATAGTCTACAATTTCCTATTATTTCTAAAAATAAGTATAAGACTTTTATGGAGATTTTCTTTTAAGCGCAGAATCAGATACTGACAGATACCAGCTGAAGACTTTGCATGTATGTGTTCCAGAACAGTTTAGTCTCGATGTTGATAAATCTTGGGACATGAACCTAAATTTAGACTCTTTAAATTTTGTCTCAACTAGTCTATATGAAAGTATTGCAAATTAAAATTCGAACAAGCGGCAAAACGCAAATTTCGAACTGAAAAATCTATATTATTTGATTTGCAGCTGCTAAGAGCATTTTAGTTCCCAGTATCTTATTAATTTTGATCATATAATAAAATTATGGCTAGCAATCTTCTACCTAAGTTTTGGAACATGAATCTGCACTTAGCGTCTGGCTACTTTCTCTTATATGAACGAAGGTATTTCGGATTTGACTAATAGTTTCGGGATTAACCGCTATTGGAGCATAAAATATTCGGAATGTTTGCGAAAGTAAAGCAAATGCATTTTCAGATACTCTTCTTGCGCGACATAATCGGTAATTAAAAATTGCTTTAGAATTATTTTGAATTGCCTGATTTTTCGGATACGATTTCATTATACGTTTGTCAAGACGAAAAGTTTCGTCTTGGAGTTTCGGGTTACCCCGATATTTTCTAGTTCTAGGTCTAGTATTAGTTCTAGTTTTACACTAGCAGTATCACTAGAATTAACACAATACCTAGAACTAGAATCATTCGGGTTTAGCCGTCTTAAGAGACGTGTGGCTAAACTCGAATGATTCTAGTTCTAGGTCTAGCGTTGGTTCTAGCGATAGTGTCAACTAGAACTAATATAAGACCTAGAACTAAAAATATTTGGGTTTAACCATGCGTCTCTTAGACTGCTAAACCTGGATGTTTCTAATTCTAGATCTAGTGTTTTACTTTTAGTTCAATAAAAATATACAACAATCTAGAACTGAATACAATTAAAACTAGAACTACCGTCTTTGATTTATACTTCTCGTGAATATCCCAAGTTTATCTACAGGCTGTCCCGCAACGATTGTACAATACTGCATCAGCGTATTCTCTGATCGAAAACAGACAAGAAAAGTCTAATAAACATAGGTCCGAAAATGGACCAATTTCGAGATATTCAAAGTTTTAGTTTCATAAGCTGACCTATTGTAAACATCATTAATTCTAACGATTTAGATGCAGTAATTATATGATTACCATGGTTACGATGGTTAAGATAAAGTTTAATAAATAATAAGATAATATTAAGTTAATTAATACAGTTCATTAATAATTTAACAAAACAAGTAACAAAGATTGTCGAAGAAAATCGTTCAACCAGCATAAAAACAACGAATATTTAACAAATTGGAAAAGATTCATGTCATAATAAATGTTCAATATGCGCACCATTTACTTCTAAACACAAACGGATACGTTTTCTAAATGAACTTCTAATGCGTTCAAAGATACCAGGAATTTGTTTTACTGTGTCAAATGCGTTACTAATTTTATTCTTCAAATCCTGCACATTTTGAACGTCTTNGTGTTCACTTGCAATTAAAATGACCTTGCAACTAAATATTCTAAATGACATAGGATTTCGACAAGTCTAGAAAGACGAATTTCATTTTGAAAACTCGATGTTTTGTCTAAATTTGACATAAGACTAAAATGGTGTCCAAATCCAACTCAAGACTTAGGTTGGCAACGGTTAAAGCGTTTAGCCTTTATTATCTTGGCAATTTTCAAAAAATGTCGGTGCTAAAACTTTAACAATTAGAAGCTGACGAATTTCGGCCATGAATATGGATTTGATATCTCGATATTTTATTTCAAGTAAACCGAACACATTTCAGATTTAAGAGTGTCTATTTGTAGCCGTCTTGAGAGACGTGCGGCTAAACCCGAATGATTCTAGTTCTAGGTCTTGTGTTAGTTCTAGTGGCAGTGGTAAGTAGCGGTAGTTAGCATAACATATTACTATGTTGTATATTTTTATTGAACTAAAACTAGAACTAACACTAGACGTAGAACTAAAAACATTCGGGTTTGGCCATGCGTCTCTTAGACTGCTAAACCTGAATATTTCTAGTTCTAGGTCTAGTGTTACTTCTAGTTTTACACTAGCACTATCACTAGAACTAACACAAGACCTAGAACTAGAATCATTCGGATTTAGCCGTCTTAAGAGACGTGTGGCTAAACCCGAATGATTCTAGTTCTAGGTCTAGCGTTGGTTCTAGTTATCTAGCGCTATCAGTAGAACCAACATAAGACCCAGCCACACGTCTCTTAGGACGGCTAAACTCGAATGTTTCGAGGTCTAGGTCTTATGTTGGTTCTAGCGATAGTGTTAACTAGAACCAATATAAGACCTAGAACTAAAAATATTTGGGTTTAACCATCCATCTCTTAGACTGCTAAACCTGAATAATTCTAGATCTAGTGTTTTACTATTAGTTCAATAAAAATATACAACAATCTAGAACTGAATAACAATTAAAACTAGAACTACCGTCTTTGATTTATACGTCTCGTGAATATCCCGGGTTTATCTATAAACGTGGAATAGAGTAACTTGTGTTACAACTCGAGTTGGATTCACTCTATGAGCGCTAACATTTATATTTAAATATACTGCTGTATTAAATCGATAATATTCCATTATATCGAGGTTTTACTGCACTAAATAAGTAAGATTAATTACATTTTTGTTTAGGAATTGCTGTATCAAATGATGGCTTAGTAGTTGTTAATTGGAGATCTAAATATGTAACCGAAATGGATACTTCAGGAACTACATTAAAATCGTTTACATACAACGCGTTTCAAGAACCTATAGATGTTGCAGTTGATAACAGTTATGGCCATATTTTAGTGGCTGATAATGGAATGAGTTGCGTCTATGTTTTTGATTCGGATGGAAAAATATTATTTCAAGTAATTGATTACTTTATAATATAACCCAAATTGTTTTTAATGCATTAATTTTTAGGTGGGAAAAAAGGGAACGTTTAAATTAATTTCAGCAGTAACCGTTAGTTTAACGGGAGAAATTATTGTGGCTGATACGAGAGTTCAAATTTTTTCAGCCAAAGGAGATTACGTTGAGACTTTATATGATGAAGGAAAAAGTAATAATTTGTTATTATTAGAATTTTTTCAGGTTCCACTATTCGTAGAGATTTGAAATTTTGGTAGCATGGGTTGTTCATTCAAAACTTCGAATGATTCGATCTAAAATATTTACAAGATGGCCGCCACTTCCGGTCTACCGGAATGCTATAGCTTTTTTTACACCGTTTAATTGTATGTAAAAAAATAGGTTGAATTTGATAAAAGTTATTGGTACCTAGCGTTTTTCGTTTTCGAGTTATTTTGGTTTTAAGCTTTTTTCGGTAAATTTCAACATGCTCTTTAAAACCCCATATCTCAGCCAACGTTCATATAAAAAAGATCTACATTGGCACGATTACTCTTCGGATGTTGTCAAATAGATTATCATTTGCTGTATCAGAGTATCTTATATTGGGTGGTCAAAAATTGAATTACCTATTTACCTATTGTAGTTTGCCTCATATTGGCAAATTTATAAAAACATGCTCGAAATGCAGGTTTTTTTATTAGAAAACTCTTTGACAGTTTTTGGTCCATGCTGCATAGATCTCATGTTGCACAAATTTTTCTTTCATTATTTTTTTGAACTTTTCAGTATTCAAAGCTTTTAATTTTGGTGAGAGTACATTGTACAGTTTAACTGATTTATAATGGAAGTTATTTTGTGACTTTGAAGCTTATGTAGTGGTAATATGTCAATATGTCACATCCATGACGTGTGTGATATGTGTGTATCTGCATTTCTGTATGTATGTAATTCAAACATGATAGAATAAAACATGATGGTATTGTTAGCATTTTTAGTGCCTTGAAAATCGTTCGACAACTCTCATTTGGACCCAATTTTGCAAGTATTCTAACAGCATTTTTTGAGCACTTTTTGTTTCTTTGATCGGTAAAATCCTTGACACCACTCTCAGGCAATACAAGAATGTTGACAAGTTTTGTTTTATTTGTGTTTTATGTTCTTTCCACGCTAAGGTCGAAGAAAGTGTGCGAAATAGGAATTTCACGGTTTCGCTCTTAACATCTAATTTTTGGTATAAAACGTAAGAATTTTGGTTTTTTCCTTATTTAACTGCAGACTATTTGAGTCAAACCATTTTTTCGCTTGCTCTAACATTTCATTAGTTCTTTATTGCAGCTGCAGAAGGTCTGTAGAAGAATTAATAAAGGATGTGTCGTCTGCATAGAGACACTTTGAATCAGCATGTGTATTGCTTGGCAAGTCATTTATGTATAGCAGAAAAAGTAGGGGTCTGAGAACAAAGCCCCTACTTTTGGTACATCCGCTGTTATAATTCTCCACTCCAAAGAGGTACCTTTCCACTGGACCTGTTGATATCTATCCCAGAGATATGACGACACTATTTTTAATACATTATTTTTCAAACCATACCATTCCAATTTCTTTAAGAGCATATTATGATTAACAGATGTTCTCTTTTATTATTATTTCCAAGACCTTTGACATTAGAGGTAATATTGATATTGGTCGATAATTTCTACTATCGTTTGCATCACCCGTTTTTTTTTATGGGAGTTATTTTTGCAAATTTTAATTCATAAGGAAAGACTCCTTTTCTCATACATTTCTTTATGGCAACACATAAGTGTTTTGTTATTATTGGCACCATTTCTTGTAGTAGTTTGAATGAAATGCCATAGACGTCTTTTGTGTTTGACTTCTTTAGATTATTTATAATTTTTACGACATCAGTGTCTACGACTTCATCAAGAGATACCGTTTGTGTTCTTAATTTCTGTATGGAAGTAAATCGGTCAGTGTTGTGGTCTTTGTCCGATTTATTTACGTTAAATTTACCCGCTTGTATGAAATAATCGTTTAGGTCGTTTGCATTTAATGTTGTTTCTTTCCTTACCATTTTCCAAGGTGCGGTTATTTTATTTTCAGAATTGTTTATATAATTTCTAAATGTTTCCTTTTTTAAGTCTTCTGTTTATTTTCTGAAATCAATTCTTAGGCTTTTATACATGTCTTTGTATTGATCTTGTCGTGTTATCTCAATTATGGTATATATTACGTCTAGTTGACTTTTTATTATTTTAACTTTTTTGTTTTCCCATATCAAAATTGAGTTTTTATCAATCTTTTCGGTTGTTTTTTCGGGAAATGCAGTCTCATAGCACCGTGCAATTATTTAATGGAAAAAGTATAGGTAGCTTATGCGTTATTCTTGTTGATCGTGTACAGGATGGGCAAATTTGGGTGTTATTATAGGCTATCTCAGAAACTATAAGAGATACGAAAAAAGTAGGTGCCATGTCCCGGTCTCTTTTTTCGAGACTAACCCAATCCCGCAAACACAAAACCTCTATCTTATTTTGTTTTTAAGTTATAGCCAAAAAGTCAAATTTTCGTGATTTAAAAAAATGCTCATATTTCGTTTATTTTTGAAATTAGAGAAATGGGGTTGATACGTTCTTAAAACACTTTTTTAAGTAGAATTTACTGCCGTTGAAAAATTTTAAAAATATTTGATGATTTTTGAGATACAACACAAAGTTGTATTTTTTTAAATACAAACTATAGTAGATTATGGTGTTACTGAAAAGAGCATATTTTTAGCTTTCCAATGATGTGTTGCACGCATGGTGTATTTGTGGAAAATAAGCGTTATTTTTTAATTCTAAAATATTAAAGATTAATATTCAAAATTTTAATTATAGTAGGCGAGGAAAACGTTAAATGCCACTTAGTTACTATAGTAACGTGAGTTTACTGATCATTTCATTCATA